TTGCCGTGTACTCGTAAGATTCAAATCACACAAAATCATGGTCAAAACATAACGAAACATGACATGGTTTCGGACGCACCTGTTCGTCTTGTGCGTGCAGTCTACGAGCAGTATCTCTGGGACCCGCTTAAACACCTTACGCATATGTTGCGAGCTAATAGTCACAACGGCGGTATGCCCATCAGTATCCTCGTCGACAGCCGACACGTTTCCTGCAGACTCGAGCTCGAAGCTAACCAAAAGTTCTGCCACGAGGTCTTCATCGCTTAGACTACCACCTAATCAATATAATAGTGAGTAAACGATCAAAATCAAATAGAAGGTCTGTCGTACCGGACTTTTTTGTCCGAGCAATAAGGTTGTGCACATCCTTTAATTGGACGTAATAGGGCGTTCGTTCACGAATGTAATCGTAGATTCTGCTCGCCTTGCTGCCGCTTGCCACCATAAGCTCCACGTCGCTCATGATTGGAGAATCTTGAGGTACTCGTCGCACTGAGGGGTACATCCTGTACACGTCCTCTGACAGAGTATGGTTGTAAAAGGCTTGCTTGATTTCGATACGCCACTCTCCATCAGCGAGCTGAACGCATTGGGCACGAAATCGCATTGGGCATCCCACACTGTTCAAGGTTTGTCGAGGTCTGATGCCTTTAGAACGGACGCGTTCCTTCCAGCCGTGCGTGCATATGTACACACGCTGGTACGGGTCCAGATTTTCTGGGACAAGAGGTAACTCAGCCTTCGGTTTGCCAATGCGTATCTTCATCTTCGCTATCTTTAGGTTGTGCAGCCGCACATTTTGTGTCTCTGAAATTACCAGCACGGAATGAGCATCCTGTTGATATTGCGTCAACCATTTCTCCAGATGCTTCCAGCTTTTGTAGTACTTTCGTAGCGGAGGAGCGTAGTACAATTCATCATCCCACTATGCGTGGTCCCGCTTGCGACTCCCACTCGAGCCAGCATCACTACACTTCTCGACCCCACTGTAATTTGCAGTCGGCTGCTCACAGGCAGCCTGGATTCCCGATTCCAAATTCACATTACTATCAGCCATTTGGGTGCTAGTTTCCATCTCTTCTGTATTTTGGGCATGTGGAATGCCATTAAGCCCAGTTGCGCTCACAACAGAGCTACCAGTATACGGAAGCCGACCGTGTCCACTAGAATCTCCAGCATCACTGCTGCTGCTACTGGTAGTTGCCTCTATCGCAAGCGCTCGCAAAATCTTCGCAGTGTTCTTGGTACGAACCATTACTAAATCATGTACAAAATCATAATAAAAACATAATTTTGATAAAAGCAAATTCACCGCCATTCCGACATTGCGTGTGTACGTACGACCGTTGTAGCACTTGCCACTTGCAGCTGTTGTGTCTTCAAACACGAAACGCTTTTTGATAACTCGAATCCTTCTCTGAGGCATAGTCATCGTCAAAACATGGTCCTTTCGTACTGCACAGCATAGTAACTGCTCGTATACTCGAATCTTACCCTTTACTCGTATGAGATACAACCTTATATATCACGGACGTAGTGGAGAAACCGTTGGATAGCGGCGGAAGGAATGAAATACCCTGCCACAGCTGGAAAATCGGGAAAAGCAAACAAACGACACGTTAGATGCGATATAATCCTTGGAGAATCCTAACAGCGCATGTACCGGTAGCCACACTGTGGGAGAGAAGGGGGGGGGTGTATTCTAACTGTCGCGGGCAGGTCAGTGAGCTTAGCTGCCTTGAGAGAGCCGAAGGGGAGCGGCGAGCTTCTCGTCCCACACGCGGCAGAAAGTTGAGTGGCCACAAACACAAATCAGTAATTTAAAAATCCGAAATATATTTTATTTTACAAACATGGCCAAGCATTTTTTCGAAGTATTAGTATTATAAAAGCATGTATCATAATTATTTTTTTTACAAAGTACACATTACTAATAACCCCAAATTAAGTGCACTCGGCCCGTTCTTGTAACAACCAGGTTTCATGATGTGAAGCAGAGGTCTTCGTTGACACGATTGTGTGGTGACTGTGCGGAATCGGTGGAGGAATCGCCTCGGACATGCGGCGTCTCGGTCTGCAATACGATGGCTGGTTGCGTCGGTCGCCCATGCTAACTAAGAGCGTCACATCGGCGGTTCTCTTTGGACTGGGGGATCGAATTGCACAGAGGGTGGAGAAGTCTCAGAGGGGTGATGATTCACGTGTCAAAGAGATCGAAAACGATGGAGCGTTCGTTAGCGACAGCACAGCTCGAACCATGCGAATGATGATCTGGGGAAGTGTTCTCTTCACTCCTATTGCACACACGTGGGTCAACTTCAGTGAGCGCGTGGTCGGAAGCCATGGGAAGGTCGTGGTTTTCAAGAAGATGCTGCTGGACGCGCTTGTTCTCGCTCCAAGTATCAATACGATCTTCTTCACGTCAACGCAAATGATGCAGGGAAAATCTTTCGGCCACGGCGTAGACTTTGCTGTGGACCGGTTGCCGCAGACGCTCAAGGCCAACTACATGATTTGGCCGCTTGCGAATATCGTCAACTACAGCTACGTACCACTGCAATATCGCATCTTGTTCATTAACTGTGTCAACCTCGTGTGGACATCAGTCCTCTCGACCATTTCAAGCCGACCTGCGTCTGCTACTTTGAAGCAGAAGAGAGAAGCGAAGATTGTCATGCCTTCCGATGAAAAGCTATAGTGCTGAAGAGGAGGCCAAAACTGCTATCTCTGAGAGCTGTATTTCTTGTAAATAATAGATGTAACTCACAACCGTCTTCAATTCAGTGACGATGTGGAAATTTCAGTGGAATCGTGAAGCTGGCTACCGGTACAGCATACCTATTGCCACTGGCAATTTGCCAGGCCGTTCAGAAAGCCATTTCGGTACTGTATTATAGTGTTCCCACCGGAGACGGGGTCTCGAGTCGAGACTCAACTTACTGTAGTGGAGTCCATCATTGGTGGAGAGTCTCCACCATGGGAGGAATTTCCATAATCCAGTACTAGTGTACTGTTTTCTTAGAAAAGGAGGTGACTATTAATAGTACTGTTTCCAGTACATTTAAAGTTCGTGTTTTACTTTTTACGAACTTAAGCAAACGTAAGTCGTTACTCCTGATTCGCTCCGCGTTAGCTGCGTCATGTAGGTAGCCTTTTGCGCTGTCTTCCTCTTGTTGGTTGGTAAAGCCACACGAAGTCGATGGTCTCTAACTCAAAGTCGACTTTGAGCTTCCACGGAAGGTTTTTGGCGGGCTCCCATGTTAATTCGCGATAACCAACCCATTGCACCAGATAAACTCTAAATTATGAACCCAGCGCTTGGCGTAGAGGCGTTCTACATCGTAGAGCTCTTGGCTCCTTCCGCGCCGAGCTCGACTACTGTCAAACAGACCAGACCCCCTCTGACCGATCGCCGTTGTTGTCCAAGCCTCTCTGCTACTGGGAGGGCGCGCAGGTAGATTTTTGTTTATCTTGAGCTTGTAGAAGGTAGAAGGATCCGTCTGCCTTCCGATTGAAATTCCTGGTGTGCTTTTTGCGCTTGTTGTGCGGCGCCCACTTGATAAATCCAAAATGAGGCTTTACATATCCAGATGTCAATGTAGAGCTTATCTAATTTTGTCAAAAGCATGAAAAAACATTTTAACTTTACAACTTCAGGTTATTATCTCTTGCGATAAACTCTTGACAAAAATTGCAGTAAATACATTTCAGGAATTTTATCATAGTATTTTGGAAGTGGATAAAGTCACACAATAATTGTCGGTAAGAAAAAAATTCCTGACGGATAAAATCCCGACAAATCAGTCAGCATCAAAAGTAGAAAAACACCCCCTCCCCCCCTTCACCCCTCCCAACTTATTCTGGGCCTTTCATTTCAAAAGAGGCGCGAAAAGCAGGACAAGCAGCATGGCGAGCGTCGCGTCGGCATCCGAGCCCGACGCCGAGACCACTGAAGCTAAATTCCCGGAGGTCCACGTCCCCACATCTGCCGCCGTTGTCGCCCGAGCCCTACGTATGGATGAGGAGACGTTCGGGAGTTGGGGTGCGTTTTTCGAGTATTTTGACGCATATCAGCACAAAACCCACCAGATATTCAAGAAGAGGACCTCTACAAGCGCCACGGCGAGGAACGCGGATCTCCGAGACCGTGGTAAGGACACCCCGCAGACCATTATACCAGACGCTTTCGACAAGTACTACCGAAAGTTGGTGTGCACGCATAGTTGGTCAAGGCCCAGCCGTTCGAAGGGCAAGAGGCATAACTACTTCGTGAAGTCTACCGGATGTCAAGCGCAGATGACGGTCGTCGTAATTTGGGATGCGGCTCAGGGTTTTCAAGTGAAGGTTACGCACCAGGAGACAGCGCACAACCACTCACTAAGCTCAGGATCTTATGGAAATCACCCCTCAAATCGACGCGTTGCAGACGAAGACGTGATTGACTTCGTGGATGAGCTTCAAGCTGCCGGGGCGAAGAAAAAGCAGATTCTGCAGTTTCTGAGGAAGAAAACTGGTACGCTACATGATTGTATCCTTGTTATTATGCTTGTTTTGGTTCTAATGCCTGGTTAATAGACAAGCATGTTACCCTGCGTGATGTGCACAATATTGTGGCGAAGCTGAAAGAGGCGCGGCGTGGAGCTACAACCGTCGAGGCAAGACTGGAGTCTGGTTTGCGCGATTTCTGCTCTCGAAAGGGTAATACGGCGACCATTTATGTGGATGACGAGAAGCTAGCGCAGACGATCACTTTTCAAACCCACCAGATGCGAAGGTTCTTTGAGGCGTTCCCACAGGTGTTGATGGTGGACGCCACTCACAACACCAACGATGCTCGATACAAGCTCTTCAGTTTCATGATTCACGATGTCTTCGGCCATGTAAGTACTCTCTTGGTGGCTGTGTCGATTGTGTGACTCTAATTGTACCTCTGTGTTGGTTTGGGTGACTCTACTGTGCCCGTGTGTCCCGCTACATTTGTGTGCCTCTATGTGACTTTACTGTAATTGTGTGCCATTGCTACAATTGTGTACCTCTTTGTGGCTGCTTGTGTACAGGGGCATACGTGCAGCATGCACTCATGGAGAACGAAAGTGCTGATTGTTTGGGGGATGCAGTGAAATCGTTCAAATCATTTAACTCAACCTGGGACCAAGTTCGAGTGATTATCATTGACAAAGACTTTGGAGAAATTGCGCTTCTGCAGAAGGCTTTTCCTGCAGCAAGAATTCTGCTCTGTGTCTTTCATGTGGTGAAGTATCTTCGGGGAGAAATGGCAAAGAGGGAGTATAATATTGAAGATCGGGATAAGGTTGAGGACGCCGTTCACATGATGGTGGACGCCAAGACGGAGCTTGAGTACGAAACGAGTCGTAGATATCTGTACTACGTGGTTGACGGAAAGCAAATTACACTCGAAGAAGATATTCCAGAGGACTCAACACACCCATTTCTGAAGTACTTTCACGGGAATTGGCACAATTGCAGACACATGTGGAGTGGATTTGGTCGTGTAGACGTCCCTCATTTGGGAAACACGACAAACAACAGGTACTGAGGCGTTTTTGTGCTGTATTAAGTTCTAATTGCTAACTGTTGACTTATATAACGACTTAGGTTGGAGGCGGCATGGGGCCACTTGAAGGACGTGCTAAAGTCTACGATGGCGCTCGATGAGTCCGTGGATACTCTGCAGTTCTTGCAGTCTATTGCGGAGATGGAGTATGCGAAGAAAATGACAGACGTTGGACACATGCGTTACGCTGGAGCTGATGCTGAGTTGACGAAGCTATCAAAAGAGGTTAGCCAGCACGCCTACGAGCTGGTGGAAAAGCAGTATCGCGTTGCTAATGATCGCAAGACTACGTATACAACGCGCGAACTACAATCTTACATGATCGAGATGGTGTCAGCAGTTGACACGAGTCGAAAGTACCATCTTGATACTAGGGTGCGTAAATTGTTTTGTCCATAATGGCTGAATGGTATCAATACTTATTGAATGGTTATTCTGACTTGACAGACGTATCACTGTTCGTGTATTTTCATGAGGACAGAGCTGCTTCCCTGTCGTCATGCTATATACTGGCGTTTACTTTGTGGAAAAAGCCCCATTCCAGTCAAGCACATCCACCCTCGTTGGAGTCTGTCATCCCCGCTGAACATTCCCGTTGAAGAAGATGAGGATGCAGAAGATGGAGAAGAAACGAGTGGATCATTTCGGGTGCGAGATTCCGCTTTGACAGCGGTACGCCACAAAGTGCTCAACGGGACTAACAAGTTCCGAACATCACACGGTGTAGCGACATGAATTGCAGATATCATGAGCCGAAATGGAACTCCCGTGTTTATCCAGATGTTGGAAAGTCTTAAGCGCTTTGAGTCCATTGCAACGGATGGAGAGGCACCTTTCGTTTCAGTATGGCCAGATCGACTCTCTCAACTGAATCCTCTTTCGCAGATTTCTGAGATACATGATGGTGGAGCAGCAAATTCCGATGACACCAGTGAGCCTCCAACTGCAATCGCCGACGCCACTATCTACAACAACGAGAATGAGATACAGCGTGAGGGCCTTGAGGAACCTGAGGATGCTTCGGGTCGCGGTGGGCCTATGGTGGCTCAATCACGAAGTCACTCACGTGGTGTGTCACCTTGTTTAAGTCACACGGGTCACACGATAGAGGTGACGGATAGCAACAGTCACTCTGGAGGCGCCAGTCACTCCGACGAAGTGACGAGTATCGCGCAAGGTTTCCCCGATCAATCTGAGATGCGGGACGAGCGGAGTATTGTGGGGCTATCACATTCGAGCTATGACGAGACAAAACAAGTAGCACCTCCAGCAAAGAGAGCGCTTTCAGATGGCGGACATCCCAGTTCCAGTTCAAGTGAGGAATGCTCATTCTTCCTCTCGAAAAGCACCAAAAGCCGCGGTCGGCCCAAGATACGAAAGAACCAGAAACAACAAGTGAAGAAGCAACGATTGGTGAGCTCTCTGAAGGAAGCCAAACAGCTCGTGCAAGGGACGTTGACGCCGGTTATCACGCTAAGCAATGTGGCCACAGTGTTGAAGTCGACATACAGTTACGAATCCGCATACGAGTTCCTATCCAAATTATCGGTAAAGACGCTGGGCCCCAGGAAACAAGTAATAGCGAAGATGGTAGCCCCCAGTGAGGCCCTAAGCAGCGTCAAGCTCGTGTTCACCGAGCAATTCACGCATAAATGCAGCAATGTTTTGGAAACGTACAGAGAGGCACTACTAGACCCGAAGTCACCCGTAGGTGTTCGTCTCGCTAAGATCGGGGTCATCAGCGAGGACCAAGTGCAAGTAATGGTGGAGTACCATCACACGATGAAGTCTTTGGAGGCAGTGTCTGATACAATTGAGTGGATGAAAGCTACGTCGCTAAACAGACTGGATATTCTAGAAGGTCTCAATGAGTATGTTGAGCTAGATAAGACCAAGGCTACCACAGCGCTGCAGCAGATTATCTTGCAAATCTCACGCTTGACACCGTTTGGAATGGTCTCGAATGAATCCGTTCTGCTGCTAAGAGAAGACCTATGGCTGAACGACGACTGCATGATGCACGTAATGACGACGATCCAAGAAGAGCATGCACACGTTGGTATTATTTCGCCAGGCGTTACCTGTACGGATGACCCTGAAGCGCAGGAGAAGGTCATCAGTGGCTTCGATCCATTCCAAGAGCACAACACGCATGTGTTGCTGCCAATTCATATCAACAGAAACCACTGGTGCGGTGCAGTCTTTATCTTCAAGTCCACACCAAACCGGATCACAGTATTTGACCCCCAACGAAAGCCAAAGCAACTTGAAACGTGTGAAGACATTGTCAAGAAAATCTTTCCAGAGATAGTAGCCAAAATGGATTGGAAACGAGAAGTGTGGCTGAAGCAGACAGATGGACACAATTGCGGACCTCTTGTTCTCCTGTTTTTTTGAGAGCATTGTGCGTGACGTCGTTCTCCCGAAGTCGCCATCGAAGGCACTCCTTCGGTACTACAGGATGAGATATCTTCTGAAGTCACTGCATGTTTAGGAGAGACGTTAGCACACTGCAAAAGTTGCGTAATTCATTCAGTTCATGCATCAACCGGGTTTCTTTACGATGTTCAACACTTTCTGGTACATGAAGCTATACATCAGAATGTCTTTAGGGCCTCCGTTGATCTCATTACTTCCATATCGGACTCACGGACTCACGTTGATTTCGTTACTTCCACATCGGACTCACGGACTCACTTGCGAAAAAATGCTTAGTCATGTGTACAATCTGGCAACACGCAGACTTCATCGTATTCCTTCGACATTCGCACGACATTTGACGATTGCGCAACCACGTTCACACACTTGGATGGCCTCAATAATGTCTACAAACGATGAAATTTTGGAAATATATTCGGTATTTTATTCTCTTTATGTGGCTTTGTGCCTTTGTCGTAGGTACACAACCGAATATGGTGACATTTTTTACGCACTTAAGTACGAAGTCACATAACCATTGTGTGACTCTAACATCGATCTAATATTTTAGTAAACAATTAACTCAAACCTATTTCATACCAACGGTCTCAGTAGAGATCTAGCTACTTTTACAGTTTAATGACTTACCAAAAATGCTTTTAAAGCTGCATCTCTTAAGCGTTTAGCTAACAAATTATCGGATCAGATTTTTGATTCAGATTTATAGAAACGTAAAACAATAAGATGAAATTGTAGAAGTTTTGATAAAGCTAATGAACTAAATGTGAGGTTTGTAAGAAAATGCAAACTTTTGGAATAGCTCCGGATGCTCCATAACATTCTGATCACGCTTGCGCTTATGCTTCGATTTCAAAGACGTCATTCCCAAAATGACACGACAGGGGGAGAGGGCACATACCAAAGCGCACATATAACACTACATGTAATAATAACCAACAGCCATGAAACCCACAGCTTTTGGTGCAAGTTAACTCAAAATTGTAACGGCAAAATTACTTTTACCATAGAATTTTTAATATTAAAAAATCTTTTTCAGGACACAATCGCATGTCCAAGTATCATTCTAAGCCTAGTTGGATACTGGACACATGCTTCATCTCATTACTTATATTGCGAGTATATAATTAAAATATTTCGTTCTAAAAATGCAGTAATATTTGCTGTCAGATGTACGTACTTAAACAATGTACTGGATCTTTACGTGGCGCGAACTTACCGGGACTGTACTGTTTTTCCAATCCAAACTCTGAATTAACTCGCCGATTTTCTGAATCCAGTACACAACTGGATTAAATACATTTCTGGACTCCACACGGAGTCCACTGGAGACCAGATGGAGATGCAAAGGCACCATGATTTGATTGTCCGCGTAATAGTAAAGATGAACCCTTCGGTAGTCATAGCGTCGGGAACCAACATTTTATCGCTATATAAGAGTATTCTTGTTGTGAGGTGGCTAAGCCAAGTTTACCTTCGAAATGGTACATTTACAGAAGCTTTGTTGCTGCAACAGCAAGGAACAATATCTAATCTACTTAAACATAAGAAGGCTCTGGAGGAACTGACTACGTCCTAGCTAGCCGTGAAGTCACAACATGAGGTGTGGTTTCCAGAGCTGGACACCGCGCTGGCCGAGTGAGGGCTGGTGCGAGGAGGATTTGCTGCGATCCTATAGTTGGAGGCGCCACCTACGTGGTCGAATGCGTGGCTTTACAGGTTCTGCGGAATCGAAGTGAAGGACGTTCCAGCGAGTGGTAAGTCGATGGGTTCCTGCGAGGATACTGGAGCCGAAACAGAGAATGATGATGTAGAGCTCGATTCTGCGGATATTAAGGAGCAGTTGCGAAGCTGCTTATTCGAGCAGAGTGTCGGATAGAAGTGTACAGAGGCTTCGAACGATGCAGAGAGAGAGCTGTGAGACGAGCTAAGCAGGAAGGAAGGGTGCGAGCAGCAAGTGTCCTTGCTTGCCTACTTTGGACGTGCTGTGACTATCCCAAAGTTTAGCACCTCAGAACAATTATTTTCATTATTTCATATTCCGAGGGAGGGGTGAGAGTTATTTTATCTTTGGCAAAAAGCAAAATTCGGGAGCCGATATTGTATTCTTGTCGGAGGGTATTATATGAACAGGGATTACTGCCGAAGGGTTCATCTGAATTACATGTACAGTACTGCACCCCTTTTAACGCCCTGGGACCTTCGATAAACTTCCGGATGTGATGATATGAGCTTTAATTTGTGAGCTAAAATCTAGTTTTTTTGCAAATCCTATATGGTCCACCCCCGCGAAAATGGGGGCAGTACTGTAATAGGCAAAAGTCACGATCCATAGAGTGCAAGCACTCATCAGGTGTACGACGTACAAATTGTACTACAATCGGAGTTTTGTCGAGGGTTCTCCCTTCTAAGAAGGGCCTTCTTCCATGATGGAATCCATCTCATTTTTCCGACTAAGCATCATCGAATTCGTCAATCATAGCCATGTTTTATGAGCCCGGCAAGACTGAGCACAACCTGCCGCATGACCCGTTCAAGGCCTGTGTGATCCCCCGTCCTATCGGTTGGATCTCCACCGTCTCGACCACGGGTGAGGCCAATCTCGCGCCGTACTCGCAGTTCAACAACCTGACCTTTGACCCCCCGTACATCATGTTCAGTGCCAACCAGAAGCCGTCGGGCAAGCAGAAAGACACGACCGTGAACACGGAGGCCACGGGCAAGTTCTGCTGGAACCTGGCCACTTGGGATCTCCGTGAGGCCGTCAATATTACGGCCGAGCAAGTGGGACCCGGTGTGGATGAGTTCGAGCGTGCCGGTCTGAAGAAGGAGATGTCCAAGTGTATTGAGGGCGTCCCGATGGTGGCCGACAGCCCTGTCAAATTTGAGTGCGAGTACTACAGCACGTTGCGTCTACCTGGAAATCCGCCTATGGGTTCGGTCGATGTGATTATCGGCAAGGTCGTGGCCGTACACATCAAGGACGAGGTGTTGACGGAGGGCATCCTGGACGTCAAGAAGACCAAACCCATTGCGCGTTGTGGCTACTACCAGTACACGGTGGTGAAGGAGACGTTCGAGATGATCATTCCCAGCAACAACCAGGAGGGCGAGGATGTTTTAGGCGGCCTCGAGGGCAGCACTCGTAAGCATCGAGAAATCGCTCAGCGTGATCACCACGAGAACGAGGAAAAGCCTTAGATGCAACGACGATAGATACTGTGCAATGCTGCCAGCAACTTGATAAATAAAGTTCACGCAAGTTTGTAGAGCTTAAGTAAACTCTTCAGCTCAAGTACAGACGAGCAATTTCGTAATGGCATGTTACTGTAAAAATAGTGTTACAGTACTAACGTGCTATTGACTTTTACGGACCACTTAAAGTGTGGACGAGCACATATAAACAACGGATCCAGGTATTAATAGTTAAACCGTGACTACAAGCTTGTCGCTGCCGACAGCGACGCCCACCAGTGCGTCCTTTGAAATAACAACGGTATTGTCGTTGGCCAGGATGTAGTTGTCCGTCGAGGTGGTTGAGGCAGCGTACAGCGTACCTTCAGTCGAGGCGTAGTATGTTGTTCCCTTGACAAGCGAGCTGGAGATGTCGACGGTGCCAGACAGCGCGACGTCAACGTCCGAGCCGTCCACGTTAGATACGATACCCACAGGTTTGCCGAACGACTCCACCAGGGCCACACGCTGGTTCTGAGCACCAGCCCACAGACCTGCGTAGCCGATAAGAGCGCCGGTTTCAGTGGCCACCACGTCTAAGACGATCGCGCCGACAGCGTTCGGGTCGGCCGACGCCAAAGAGAAGTCTGCGTTGGCCACAGGGAGCACCGGAGACTCCTCAGACAGCGTCAGATCCGACGAGTACGAAAGCACCTTGATGCTCGGCTTTCCGGAGTTGGCCGAATTGAGGAAACCCACGGCCAGGCGGTTATTGGACAGCACACGAACGATCGGCGTCGGGTAGAAGCCGAAAGCAGAGCCAAAGTCCATCGAGCCCACAGACTCGTCGAGCACGTAGCTGCTACGGAACGTGGGGGAACGTTTGATGGCGGAGAACTCAACCAGTGACACTGTAAGTGCGTAGTTGTTGGCTGTATCGAAGTAGCTCAGTGCGATCACAGTGTCTGATATCTTGGCCGAGTCAATGTAGTACGTTGGACTCACAGTCGTATCGCACACCTCCACCGTTTCGGTCAGTGTGTTGTCCGAAAGGCTGGCGGTGAACAGACACAGACCCACGCTGCCTACAGAGGAGGACGCGGTGTCGTTGCTCGACGTCGAGGACGCTTCCACGTACCAGGGCACCGTCACCGTGTTGCTCGAGTTAAAAACCGATTGAGGTGTGCCAAATTGCGTGAACGTTACACCGTTGGCATTGCCAAACTCGAGACTGTCGGATAAGG